AGGGAGGGTGGGAGGGATCTGCAAGGATCAAAACGATGGTGGTACTCGAACGATAATCGATATAACACCCTCTGACGTTGTTTTATCGCGGGAGAACACGCGAAAATTTTTCGTCGCGAGAGAAAATGTATTATTGGTATTATCGATCGAGCGATGACCACTCGATGCGAGGAGGGAGGGCTGTCTCTTTCTTTAACTTCTTTATCTTTAGATTAGAAAAGTTTGCGTGAATTTCATGAAAATTCACGAGCATTCTCTAGTACAAGTTGAGTTTGAACTCGAGTACGGAGTTTCATTTTTGAAGGGAGGAAATGACGTGGCGGAAGGAAGTCGCTCTCTGTTTTATCTACCAAGTTTGTTTGAATTTATTCGAAATATATTATTGTCTTATTTGAAGAATTGGTTCGCTGTATTATCGAGGCTAAAAAATTTTAAAAATCTTACTTGCAAAATAAGATAAATTTAGTTGCAATATGCTCTTACGTTTTCATTCATCCTTGTGATGTTAATAAATATTATTCGAAGATCCCGCCATTTCTATTCGAGGCTCGCGGGGGAAAAAAGTTTATCTCGAACATTTTCTTCAATCTCGCGTAAAAAAAAAACGAAAAGAGGAGATTGGGAATGTGGTTGAGAAAGAAGAGCGAATTATTTTTCAAAATCTGTCGGGAAGGAAACCACGTGAAAAATATAAATAATAAAATTTCTCGACTTTCGACAAGTCGTATTAAAATTCGATTTAAAAGTGTCCGTTTAATTTCAAGTTTGTAAATTTGCAATAACGAAAAAGGATGGAAAAATTGTAAAAAAAAAAAAGAAAAAGCAACTTTAAAACACGAAAAGAAAGAAAGAAAGAAAGAAAAGAGAAACGTGTTAAAGTCAACGGGGGACTACTTCAAAGTTCGCGGATAAAAACTTCGAATGTGGCAGTTTTTTTTAATAATAAAAGTTTTATAGGTGCTATGTCGTTATTTTTTTTTCGCTACGTTTTGTGCCTCGAGACATTTATGAGCAGCCACAGGTGAAAGTAAAAGGTAATAACATTCCACTCATACCGATAACAACGTAAGTTTATTCGTTGAAATTTATGATTTTGATCTCTTCTACCATCTTCTAAAACATTTATCCCATATTTTCAGATTTTATTTGGTTAATCGATCGAGAACCTCGTTATTCCCCCTCCTTGGATTTTATAATATCCAAATCCAGTTGGATTAAATTCATTTTGGATTAAACTTTTATTTAAACTTTTTATCATTATTATTAATTGTCCAAATCATCGATAAATTTTCCACGATGATAATATACGTTCTTATGTTGATGCGAGACAAAATTCGTACAATTTTAAAAGGGATATCATCCCCACATGATCAGAGTGGTTGTTAACACTCTGTGCAAGATTAATGAGAAGTCATCCTGTAAGAGGTAACCGTGCAAATTTACAGTTGGGATTCCCCGCCCACGCAATGTTTACCTTCTAATGAAATTTCCAGCAGATAATCCTCCCTTTCGACAATTCTTCGAACAATTCACGCTCTTCGTGATTGCTTCGTATCTCGAATTCTATCCTAATTCACTAATTTAACAGGAATGGATGAAATCAAGTAATCATATATTAATTATTAATTAATTCAAATTAAATTATTCGATGATATTGATATCGTGTCGTTGGATACGTAACATAACCTAAAAAACAATGAAATTTTCAATAATAAGAAAAAAATTC